CCCCCCCCCAGCGTGGCCCCCGGAGCACTGGAAATCCAAGTGTACGAATGTAGCACACCAGCAGGCGAGAAAAAAATTCACACTCTTAAAATGTGCACAACCTGTAGGTGTGCGACAAAATATTCACACACGTATAAGTGAGCGAATAGAGATTCGCACACTTGTAAAGACGTCCATTTACTCGCCCCAAGTGTGTAAATGGTCGTTCACACCCCTACACACTCTACAGGTGTGTGAGAATTCTGTCGCACACCCACAGGTGTGTGAATTTTTTCACTCACCTGCAGGTGTGCGACATGTGTACACTTGGGTTTCCAGTGCGACCCGAGAGATGCATCGCTTGGCAGAAACCATCGAGAGCGGAAATTGGAAAGACGGACGTCGCGAGCACTGCTTCCGGTCTGCGGGGAGACACGACGACACGGCGGCCCCGCTCATGCGGCTGCCTGATGGCTGCAGCCGGCAGTCGTATCGACCCGGCCCGGCTTAACTACATCTTAACGAGTCGGGGGGATAAGCTCATTTGAAATTTAAAAAAGCCGATCCAAGCGCACCCTGTATTGCATCGCCGCGGCGAGTGGCAGATTGTGGCCGTATGCGCCGACCGGGGGGGGGGAGGCTTTAAGGGCAGACCCTTTAAACGCCGCCGTCTCTCTGCACGACCTAGCTGCTGAAGTCAGAAGTAAATATACCCCCCCCCCCTTCCCCTTACACCCGCGCCTGCCTGCCGACGGCCGAACGGCATGCCAATACTTCAATTTTGAGGTTTACACCAGTTTCCACTGGCTGGCCGGCCGACCCTTGAAGTATTGACTTGCCGGTTGCACGTGTTTGCATTGCTGTTAGTAGGACAAGACGTTGCAATAAACGGATCTGACTTTGAACGCACCTGCCGGCCGTCTCTACCTGCCTTCGTTGTTGGTCAGCCGTATCCAGTGAGAGTGAAAATATGGTCGAATGTGACACGGTCTAGGTGTATGTGTGTGATGGAGGTAGTAGCGATCAGTGATGAAGATGACAAGGATGATGTCACATGAAACACGATGCACGATGGGGTTAGAAGCAGGATGACGAGAAAAGCGAGTCAAGCACGATTCTTTTTGAATTATTGTTTTATTCAAGCACCACAAAACAAGCACAACACATCATTCTTGTTGTTGTTGTTGTCCCCGATCTCACAGACACATACGCCCGCCACATGCACTTGAAGCACTGAACAGCGAACTGCTCAGCTTCTCCACCCAAAGACATGCAACCGGCATTCATCCCGGAACAGTCTTCCCCCTTTTGACTTCTTGCCGGCCAAAGACGGCAGCAAAGAACGCAAAAACGTGTCCGCCCGATACGTCGCCCCGAGTAAAACACACTATGTTAGTTCCTCATAAAATTTAAAAAACACATTATGTTACTTTGTCATAATTTTTTTTTTGAAAAAAAAAGGAGGGGAGAAGTTGTTATTTTTCGACTTCCGGGGCGTAGTGCCTGCAACGCCTTGGAAACAGTGTTTGAAGATTGGCTCAATGGGGACCCAGTTCCCTGCCACTTATCAAG